TTCAGACCGGTTGATTCCGTCTGCAAATAATAAGCGTCAAAGTTCAGAACTTTTAGTCGATCGGATGGCATTCTGTTACATGATCCTAAATACAGCAATTTTCTTTGAACAAATATATTTTATTTTACTTATTAAGAATGGGTTATGCTTATTGATGCATACAGCGAAATTTTTGCCATACTGATTCTTTTCTCTCCGGAAAATGATTGTTTCAAGACAATGAAACCAATTTAAATATCCGGGAGCATGAAAACCTATCACTATATTACAGTACTTGAGCATTGAAACATTTTAAATAGCGTGTAGATTAATTACGAAAAGAAGTTATTAAAATTTAACGTTAACGGTTCACCTCTTTGAAAATATTAGAGTTCACCAAGAATTTAAAATCATGTTTCGCTGAAGCATCTTAACCGGGTATTTGGAATATCTGCAAATAACCTTGGTTGAACGGGATGTTTCATTAAAATTCCCCGCTTTAAACATCTTGGTATTCTGTAACCTCGGGTATCTCGTCTTTTTATTACTGAACACAAATTGCCAGCTGATCAATAAAGGCGAACGATGTAATTTAATTATACCGGCCAATCACCTTTAGCTCTTCCATTTTATTCTCATTACGCTTGATTTTTTTCAAGCGTTATGAATTTACTATGAACTTAAGCGAATTTAATATGAACATGATTGGCTCGAGTAAAGTATAACAATTTTAGGAATATAAACGAGCTCAAAATCTCATCAAGAACTTTTGAAACAAAGTTTGCAGACGTACTGTATCTAGCTAGAAAATATTTTGCTCTCATTGAGACTCGCGGCGATGTCTGATGATTCCACAGTCGGTCATAGTTGACTATTTATTCTTCATAAAATAATTAAAGAGTAATAATGTTCAGTATCTCCGCTTTGAATTCATCATTGACACGCTTTCATACCCACCAGCAAAAGTGCTCGGTCATTTGTTCGGATGTATATTCTCGGTTTTTTATTGTTTTTCTCGAATCGAGTTTGAATGAATGACTGACTTCATAATATTGCAGCCTGGTTCTGCCGCTGATCACGAGAGAAATCGTGGACAATATGCAACCAGGGGCAACAGCCAACGAAACCACGGCTTACAGCAACTACGGTTTTCTATACGGTACAGTGCCCACAGCACCCACTGTGTTCGTTTACGCAGCGCAGTTCAACATCCAGGCAGACATGGTTCGTTTACTTTTCGAAAAATTCCTAGTCCATTTTCACCAGAAAACGACGTGAAAAAAATATTCGCAATTTTCTTTTTCTTCTTTTTTGAATGCTACCTCGTCGGAAAATTTTATGTAATTATGCAGATCGCGAGCGCTATGGTGATTGGGACGTTCCTGTCAGCACTCGTCATGTTTGTGTCGGCGAAAATGGTGACGCTGACGAACGTTGTGCCGCAAGACTATGCTGTCGAATTGAATGGGTTCCTGTTCAACGTGGCGGCTCTTGGGGCGATTTCTTGCGCCGCCGTCGTCGTGGTTTTTTCGCTGACGAGGAAATGGCAGAAAATGCCGCACTTCGTCACCCTGTGCTTGGCCTTGTCGCAGGTGCAATATTATTTGCTCCTATATTTGATTACGTGATACAATATATAGGGGAAATTGGGTTAGCTTCTTTGTAAAGACGCACGAACTGCAAGATCTCACTCGATGGCCCCCCTATTTTTTAGAAGAGAATTTAAAATTACTGTACAGTAGTTGATATTCTAAAAGCCCTTTTTTCAACTTGAAAGCGGAATTTCGGGCCTAGTTCATAATTTTTTCCCCCGGTAAATTAAGAGTTTTTTTATTTTTAAAGGATGCTTGAGAGGCTAATGAGAGATCATTTTATTGTTATCTAATCTCTGATCGTAACACGCGTATTTGAAATATGCTTAAAATTTCGTGAACTAAAGTTTTTAAATTTTTCATTTGCATTATTTGCTTGTTGAACAGAATTCTAGACATCAAGATTTTAAAGTTCTGTTTCATGGGATTGTAATTGAAGTTTATAAGTTCTTTTCTGATTTTCTATTGATTTTTTAATGTAGTAATTTGAATTCAGCAAATTTTTGGGATGCTAATTATGCATTCATTTACTCTGGAAATGGTTATATTCGAACTATGGGTGATCACAACTTATTTTTACGATTTCTTTATGAACAAACGTTTTTCTTGTTAGGAACAAATTTTGTTTTCTTTATAGACCGTTTTGGTCTTGAGTGTGGGAACTTGTCTTCAGAAAACAAAAATTTCAAGGGAAAATATTTTTCTTTTCGATGATATGCGAATTTTCGAAGGCAGAACTTTACTCGCGTAATACCCTCGTGACATTGAGTTTTTCTCGAGAGAAAAAAAAAAAACGAAAAATGGGAAATTTATGAGTGTTTAATCGTGTTGAATAGATGATGGCTTGTGTTGGAGTACTGACTTGGGCTTTAGTGGACTCGAACCATCAGTGGAAGCTGTATCTTCAATTCTTCATATTTTCCTGGGGAGTTTTCGCTTCCAGAATATGGACAGCTTTGTTGGCTGTCACTCTGGTGTTTATGCGGATCAGAAGCTTGAGAGATAGTCTGAAATTGCGTCGCTATTTGCCCATAATCGGATGGGGGTGAGTCTTTTCTTTAGAAAATGATTCATCGAATCCATTTATTTAATATTTTAAACAAAAATAATCGAGTAAAACCAAGAATGAAATATAAACAAGGAGATTATGATATGAATCATTCAACGTGTCGCATTTACTCGATTATAAGACACCCTCCTTTCAAAAACCGAATTTAAAAACGTATGCGTTTCTTGTGTTCAATCGCGTTGCACATTTTATGGTACTCCAGTTTTTGTTGAAGAAAGTGTATCACACCGTCATCTGAACACCACAATTCTTCAATTAAAAATGGTCTAAATCTTTGAAATACAAGGCAGGAAATCCATGAGATAAATTCAAATGAAAAACGCAAATGAAAATCTTGAGCTCGTACCTAAAGTATATGTTCAAAAACGTCAGTGGTTTTGAGCACGATTGATACTGTGCGATAGAAAGTGACCTTATGTATGATTGGAAATATATTTTCTTTCATTTTAAGTCAAAAAAATAGAGGCGCAAATTTATGCTGGAGTCGAAGATGAAATTGTTTTCATTTTTTGAGGCACAAAAACAGAGGTAAATTTTATAGGCGTTGACTTCTTTGTTGAGGATAACTATTTGAACGGTAAAGTAGTATATTTTCCTCCTTCGAATGGCTCAATTTAGCAGCACTTTATAATTTCTCAAGAAATAGAAAAGGCGCTTTTTAAACCAAAAATACTCCTGCTGTAATATCTGTTCATTCATTGGCGACTATGATGTTTATAATGGACTTGATTTTCTTTTTCCTGGAGTTTCATTTCAACTTCAACCGAAAAAACAACGTTTGAATGCAAGCACTGAACTTAATCGTCAAATATTTATTGATTCATCTTAAATTTCAGACTTCCTGCGATCATAGTCGGCATTTTGTTGGGGATTGTGGCGGGGAAGTCGGATATGAACCTTGGAACCCAACCAGACCCGACTTTCCAATACGGCCCAGTCCAAGCAATTGCTTCTCTCGTTGTGCTCTCAACTTGTTTCCTCGTCACACTGTTGTGCCTGATCTTGCAACAGCGACTCAAAAGGCTGTCAGCTGAGCAAAAGATCAGTTGGAACGTCTACGAAGAGTTGTACTACGAAGGAAGCGTCAGCATGTCCGAGATGGGCGACGATTATGCGGGAAGCCTGGGATCGAGCGAAAGAAATCCGGAACGGAAAATTTCCGAAAGTATGTAAATTGCGTAGTGGATAATCAATTAATTCGATTCCGAATTAATCTTATGAGTGATCATTCGTTAAAACTTCATTGTTTTCCTCTCAAGTCTCAGATTCTTCATCAATGGCATCATCGACTCCCACGACGCCGACGAGCGACGATATTTTTTCTGAAGCGATGAAACGATCGATTAGTCGTCAAACATCGAAAATTCAACTGATCGCTTTTGATGCCAGTAATGATGCCAAAAATGACGCGTAAGTAAACATTTTTGCCAATCCAAACTCATTATTTGTTTTATCAGAAAGAATGTACTGTATTTATTCATGGATCTGGTCCATTCGAAAACGTCGGATTAAAGGACATATGTGATAGATATAAAATGGTTTTTTTCAAAAGCTCCCGGTTTTACGAATAAAATATGCATACGACGACTTCAAAAAACACATTTATTTCTCTTACATAGTCTTTGACGTTTAAAATTAATTCAATATAATTCTTCCTCCATTTCAGAACGATTTAAAAGTTCATGAATCCTGCACTGAGAAATGCGTGCAATTTTTCGTCGTATATTTGAGCGTATCCACGTACACATCAAATAAATAAAATTCTTCTTGAGAAATGCATAATGTTTTCTTAAGTTTATTATTTTTGAGCTCTTTTGACAATCAAATGTCATTCATATTTTTCAACAATTTCTTGGGATGCGAAAAGACACATTTGGTCCTTTAATTCATCACAGCAGCAATGATACATAGCTCAAAATGGTCCGTTGAATTTTTTTTCCACACAGGAAGTACAATTGAATGGATATTTGTCTAAGGTTTTAAATGTGTAAATACTCGTACTTTTTCAGAATTCTGTTCAGTCCGAGCGACGAACTGAATCCGAGACAAGCGAAGCAAGCCAAAGACATCCGCCATTCGCCGAAGAAGCTCTTCTCATTCGACAATTTCCTTCGGAAAAAGCTCAAAATGCGAGAAGAATCTTTGCAAATAATCCCAGAGGATCGTGTTATAACGTCATCAATGTCGATCGAAGATGGAAAATCAACAGCGAGTTCGTCGTCATTCCGCGACGATTGGTTCAACAGCACCCGAAGAAACAGCGGTACCTTGGCAGGGTCTACAACTTCTTTGCAGAAAAATTTACAGAATATCGTACCGATGTCGCCTCTACAACCTGAAGAAACTGGGATTCTTCGCGACCGAGATGACGAGTACCAAATCTTGCGACACGTCGTCCTTTTGCTCATCTTGTTGACATCAATGCTTGTGGTGAGAACCTTTCATGATTCTAGATCTGACTTGACTTGAAAGGGGTTCTAAAAACGTTTTATTCGAACCTTGGTGAGCAGTTCTTCGGGTCCTGTGAGCATCAGATCAATATCATTGATCCTATGATTTAAAGAGAAACCTTTGCACTTGCCGTGGATATTCTTTTTCCATTTCTTGCTTTGAAAATTTTGGATCAAGTTCAGAATTCAGCGCCATACTATCGAAAAAATTGCCCTTTTCATCACAATTGGGTGTCCAGCAGATCAACGATATTCGTAAAAAAATCAATAATTACATTATATAATTCAATTTACAGAGACCACTCGAAAGATCATAAAAACTGTATTTCATCGCGGCAATATTTTCTTGAAATACATGATCGATGGGATACCTTTCCAGCAGTCCGCCTTCTTCTTTTTTCAACCTGGGTAAGTGAAAATTGAAAATAGTGATTTAACGATCGAGTATACTGAAAATCTTAGCTCATCTAAATAAATTAAAGGATATTGCAGAAAATGAAGTACGAAAAAGACACAGTTTTCTGTCCAACGCTTGAAGTAAGGTATTTGAGATGTTCGGGGTCGAACAAAAACCACGACTTCGATTTCGCCTGAAGAAGTTTTCGGAGGACTTGAAATCATGTTTCTGTATTGAAGTTCAATGATCTTATATATCGAATGCAATTATTTTCAGGGACTTTCGCTTTGCTTATGGTCGATAGTCATCGAAGAAAAAAGTGGGATTTACGTCGAAATGGTCTTTTTCGACGTGGCGTTGAACTTTGGCCAAGGCCTGTTCGTTTTCCTCATCTTTGGACTTGACCAGAAGCTCGTCATCGCCCCTTTATTGAGAAAGTAAGTTGTTTCTTTCTTTTTCCTTTTTCTAGCTAAACATGATTGGGGCATGTTAATGCATAATTTTTGTTGATTGCGAGAAGATTTCGACGTTGTTACTACGGAACGTCTCAAGTTCTTCCGCCGCCGCCCGAAAAACTGTCCCCGGAAACTATACATGTTTGTCAGCAGTTTGTGGACTACCACATGGACAAATGTGCTCGAGACATTGTTCGAGACAGAAGGTTAGTTCGAAAGTTATATTCCAATTACCGTGAAATTCTTCAAATTTTGTAGAATCTGAAAATTCATCGGAAAAAAGCGTGAAAAATGCCGAGGATGATGAGAGGGTGTGGAACACGAGAAAAAATAGACCAATTTTCCAACAGCGACATCTCCTGAATATTTTGAGCTAATGCCTGGAAAATAAATTCATTCTGATGTAAACCTCAAGTTTAAAATTTCCTGTGCTCAACGATTTCAATCATATTGAATTAGTTTTTGGTCATTTTGATTTTAAACAAATGACCGAAAAATTATTAGAACTTTTCGAGGGAAAAGTCGCCCTCCCATCAGCAGTTCTTCGCAGCGCTCATATTTCAAACTCGTTTGTATATAAGACTTCACAATATTGAACAGAAATCTCCAACAAAAATATATCACCTTTTTCTGCTCAACTCAGTCTCTTTTTTTTCTATTGTTTCCCCCCCTTCAGATTTCGCAGCAGATTTTACAAGCAAGCGTTTTGCGGGAACGAATTGGTGGATTGGCTGCTGATAGTCGGCCTGGCGCCGGATCGGAAACACGCCACGAAATACGGGCGGCGGCTTTTGGCCGGCCGCCTTTTGCGTCACTACGACAACGAGCACAATTTCCATGACATGCCGTTTTTCTATACGTTTTGCCAAGCTCCTCGAGACGCTTCCTCAGTGGAACCGTGAGAGATTCAATCAGGCGGATCACAGAGCAGAAACGATTGTTGGAAAGTGAATGTTTTTTGTTTTGTTTTTTTTTAAGCTGTGTTTCACCACAATTTTCGGAAAACTCCGTTATTGCATTGATGCTTGCTTTAAGCGAAACGATACGAACTTGGGAAAAGGCTTTTTGTTTTTGTTTTGTACCTGTTGAAAAAGAAAAAGAAAACCCAGTGGAGAAAATTTTATTTTGGTCGAGTGAGAGTGAGAAAGTGCTGATTCAGCCGAGGACTGAAAAAAATAGGCTTTTTTCGCAATGAACTTTGTTTTTGGAAATATATGTGATCTCGGAATGCGCAATAAGCTTATCGTTTCGGTCTGTGAACATTTGCTCGCAAAATAATTTCCCAGACATTCAAAAATGTTTTCAAAGAAAAAAAAGCAGAAGCGCTGAAAAGATTTTTTTTTTGTCATCTGCGAACTGTGAATCGATAGCTTTCATCTAAGTTGAAGCTCGATCCAGGTTTATTTACCTGGGGATTTATTTGTTCACCTGGGAAATTGGATAAGCATGGAAGTGAGGTGGATTATGACAAATTTTTGCTTCATTTAGACGGAACTGCAAAATTATTTATTTACCTTTGTTAAATTGCATGCTTGTTCGATTTGTTGCCCGAGGCAGTTCGGATGAATGAAATACAACTGATGCTTTGCCGAAAATGTCTGAGCTTAATGATTTCGTTAAAATTTGTTCAATACAGGTCCTGCTGCTCATTTCGAGGGTTCAACAGCGATCAAAGGTCGATTTGGGTAGAATATAGACTCAATATTCTTACGAGTATTTTGTCCCGTCGAGCGGCACTAATTCGTGTCGACAATTAGCAACGAAAAAAAAAAGTTCGCGAAACACAGAGGACTCTGACTTGAAGTGTGCGAAAGTGTGCGAAATCGGAAAAGGAAGAGGAGGATTATCCCGTTGCAAAAAAAGGGGGGGGGCACGGTGGGAAAATTAGCAAAGAATTGGATTCGGATGCCGATGACTGATTAGGAAGGGAGCAGGGAAAGGAGTTTCTCCCGCGACAAGGAGTATAGGAATCCGATTCAGTTTGTCCCGGTTCGCTTCTGCTGTTTTTTCTCCTTTTTTCTCTATTCTTTTGTTAAAGCTGGAATTTCATATTTACAAGCACGTGGAACAAGTATCCGAGTTTAGTAAACATAGGAACAGAAAATTTCCTTCGAAGCGTGACGGGACTCGTACTAAGTTGTGAAAATTAAAGATTACACTGTATACCTCGTCTGGAAGGGTATCTACAGTGAATTTAGTTTGCTGAAACAAGTGAAAATAATGTACGGGGAAGCACTATATTGCTGGTACTGCAGTTTTTCATTGCTTCGGAAAATGTGGTCAAGAATGTGCATTATTGTGTCACCTCGGGGACCCGATTTTTCTGAATATTTTGAGACTTCTCGGATTCCTCAAAAACTCACACAGCGGCAACCCGAACAATTTTTCGATTTTTATTAATCAATTAATTTAATTTTAATTGCACCTCAGAAAAATGTGAATAAGTTTCTTTGCCTATGGATTCTTTTTCATACAACATTTATTGCATATTTATTTATTTATTAAATTTACGAAACGGCGCTCAAAAATAAAAAAAATAACTTTTTGGTCAACTTGTGCTTATAATCGGAATTAGATGAAAATAATTTCACCAGAAATTTCATGGTGTTTTGGCTACTTCTAAAACTTGTTGAAGTTGTGATTTGATAAAATTTGATTGAAATGTTTGCCAAATCAGTAATCCGCACTGGAATTCATATATTTTATTTTCACGCTGCAAGAATAATGTTCACTGCATGTGGAAGATTACAATCTTCGGAATTTTTTGAAAGCTTCACAGCGCATTCATGTTTTGCAATCACTCAATCTAAAATAAATTTTCAGATATAAAAAAATTTTTCATAAAAAATATGAACAGAATAGTTTTCCTCCACGCAAAATAATGAACAACAAACCGGAGAGATTCGCACGGATAAAATTTTCTTCTTTTTTTTTAGCACCGTTTTGTAAATCTAAAATGTTAATAAAAGTACAAGCAGTGATGAAAAAAACGAGAATCTAAGCACAACAAATTATTCGCATTTTCCTGAGATTCAATTTAAAAAAAATACAGTTGTAAAAGGAGGGAAATTGTGCGAATCGTCGCTGTTCCAGTTTTCGCTGTGCGATTTTTCCGGTAACCCATTTCGATCGTGGTTGTGTTCAAATGTTGGCAGATTAAAAAAAAATTCAAAATATCAAGTCTGATTCCCTCGGGAATGAAAAATTCTTTTAATGCTTTAACTGCAGTGTTGCTGGTGATAAAGACTTATGCGAAGCGATTTTCATGCCAAAAATCAGACACGCAAGATTCAAACAATATGTTTATTAAACATTTTATAAAGCTAGGGTGCATTTTTTGGGTAAATTATTCCGTCTGCTCTACCAAAATATTAATAACTATAAATACGGTACAGTATATATATCCTTTCTCATCCAAATAACTTTGGTTTTCAGTATTCTCTCAAGAAAGTTTCAAAGGTTTTAGGCTCGAATTTCTTCACAAACATTCCACAAAAAAAAAACAGGCATACAGTATAAGTCAGAAATTTTATTGCGGTAGTTTATTTGTCAGTATTTCGCACATGCGAATTTTATGTGGCTGAATGATTCATAAATTCTCGCCATGGTGATAAAAAAAAGTTTTTCTATAGAGCGTTGAATTTCAACTCCGAAGTGATCTTTATTTATTTGCGTTCACTGAAGTTTTATCCTCGATTTTCACGCTAATTTTTGACGTCCACACTTTAAGCTCCTTCAAGACGTAAACACTTTTTTTTTATTTGGCGAGAAACTTCTTCGCCGTCGAAGAATCTGTTTTCTTGACACGGACTGAATGCCAAACGAATAAATACGGTGGATATTTCAATAGGGCTCCAGCCACAAACGATTTGTTGGTCGAGTTTCCCCTTGTGCTTACTCGGAAAGCATTCGACTGTTGACTGATATAAACGCCGATCGATCCGCTCTTTATTCGCTCCTTAAGCCTCGATCTTGGTGTAGAAAGTCTGTAATTTTTTTTATTTCCTAGGCTAAAATCTAAATATGTAAGGTGTAATACACCGTCAATTTCAAAATTTGAGAGTTGTATACATTTTCTGTAGAATAAGTCCACCCTGTGTTTGATATGGCTCCTGAAGAATCCCTCGACATATATATTCTATTTCGTATTCTGGTTCATCAAAAATAACACCACCGATGGTATGCTGATGTTTGTCAAGATCAGTGCTTATAATATATGGTCAAGATTAATTGCATTCAGTGTTCATCGTTATTCGAAATTAAAATGTAGCAAGATCCCAATACAAATGTTTTTTCGCCTACGTTTGTAAAGCCCAGGGAACACAGAGACGTGATTATAAACTTGTCTATAACGCTTTTTTTTAATTTCTCGACTCGTGGGAAATGGTACATGTGAATGAGATCAGCACGATTTGCTGACTTTTGGTTTGCCCTATGCCTTTTTGCGACGATATTGAAAAACTGCGAGGAATCTCGATAATTTTTTTTTATCGGTGTTCAGCTTTCCAAAGCAGATATACATAGAGAAGGAAGTGGATGTCGGTGGTCGAGTCCGTGTTTCTTGTTTTCATATTGTGCGAGATGCTGTTTTCCGGGGAGACAATGGCCAACAATTTCTGATCGTGGATATTTCCTTTTTTTCTGTGTGGTGGATAAAGAAGAGGGCGTCCTTTTTTCCGGAGTTCCGCCCTTTTTCGGGGATGAGGATGCGATATGAAGTCGTGTTGGTCGTCGGGATTTTAGGTGAGAATTTGAAGGTTTTGTGATCACTTGTCACCATAGGACACGCGCATGTTTCAATAAAATTACGTTCAGTATTTTAATCTACATCGGTGTGGGTTGCTGCAAATTTTATTTCGATGAAAAATAATCAATATATGTAATAACGTTTGAAAAATATACCACCATACGCCAAAGAAGTGGACATGAATTCAATATTTAAACTTAATGTTTTTAAATATTTTGTTCCCTTCTCTTTATTCCAACAAATCATGATGATAGCAATTTTAAAAACTGAATTTTGATTGGCGGAATGGACGTGTTATTTTAAAACGTTAATCTTTTGACAACTTTTCGACTTTATTTCGTCTCAAATTTTTATTGACATTGAAGTTCAAGGGACACGAAATTTTTCACGGCATATTAGGGTTTTTGTCACCAAGGACAAAAGCGCGGAACTCGCTATGTCCTTACGACACCACGATCACTACAGTACCGGAACTTCTGCGGTACTTGTCGCATCGCGGCGACTTGCTCAACTGGATTTTCGGTGACCTGAGGTACGTGGGTAACCTGACACGAATGGACGCGGCCCCGGATGCTCTGGCTGCATGTTACGGGGAATGCATGGCCTGCTCCACGACGCTGTTCTTCCTTCGAAGGTGATGCACATTCTTCTTACCAGCAATGATGATACAATGAATAACTATAAAATAAATTTAAATTATGAAGGAAAATTAAGTCTCCCATATGCAGCACTGGGTACATTTTCAAAATAAAGAATCCCGCGTACCATAAAAGGTTTGACGCAATAAAAGGCTTCAATTTTTTTTCCGTGAAAAAATGCCGCACAAAATATTCCGCGTCCCACATACAGTACAAAAATCGTACTGAAGTCCCTCTATATATAAACTTTCATGAATTTGAAAAAAAAAGAAGTCATAATGCATTCTTGCGTCGTTCCCGGCTTTGATATTGTTTTGTGGGGCTTCTTTTTTGCGATTAAAAATTGATTGAAGATTTATATTCGCATGATTTATGCATACAAAAAACAAGGCCCACATCAGAACACCTGAAGAAAATGGACTGACAAAAATTCAACTTTTTTTCGAGTGATTTCATGTCTACCATATGTGATGCAAAAGTGCTGTGAAAGGTGTCATTTGAATTGCGAGTCAGACAATATTTTTCGAGCGATGCCTTTCAGAGAAATTCTTATGCCGGCTCTCATTTAGACGTCTGTGCCGAATTTTACACAGGAATTCGCATTTTATTCGTTGCAGATCTCGTGCTCGGAAGAAAATCTAATTTAAAAAAGAAAATTAGCCGAATCGGCTCTTTGTCTGAAATGTTTCTCTTTTTATCGAGTCATCAGCAGGGATAAAATGTCTTGATTCTGGATTTTTTTTTAAATTATGAAAACGTGAATGAAACTTAAGGACGTGTTGATAAACATGTTCTCGTGTCACCTTTCAGAGGTAGTGTACCGAGGCGCATATCTCTCTGAAATCAAGGTAATAAATGACATAATAAATAGAGTTTTAACAAGTTACGTAGCTAACAAAGTAGGGACAGGTCTAAATAGCTCTTCTTGCAAGGCCTGTCAGATATCATGGCACAATTGCTCGCTGCTTGCGACCTCAAAAGCCTCAAAGTTCCTCCGGAAGTCTGCAAGGGATATTTGGAGTCCAACGCGGTAACATTCGCATTTATTTACAAAATACTGGAATTTTTACTTGAGAAAAAGTAGAGGATTGGCAATTGTCAAGAGTTCCTTTATTTTTATACCTATAGCCTACATTGCTGTGGGTGATGGCCCAGTCTATGGACTTGGATCTGGATTTAACCTGTGCAATGTTCCTTGGGGCTCCGCGATGCAATAATGACGAAATCCCGGACTCAACCTGGCTTGTTCCGCTTCCGGAAGACAAACCCCCGAAGAAACCCATCAACATTCCAGTTAGCGACCATTTTTAGACCCTATATGTTATTCCTGGCTCAAATGAAAATAGTGAAAATCGTAAATACGCATAAAATGCTTCAACGTTTCCCCGGAAATAATATCCGTCAATAGAAGTGCAAGCATTATTTGTAGACACGGCTTGAATAGGCCATATATTCTCTGAAGATGAGTTTGTTTCTCTATGCAGCCAAAAACTAACTGGACTCTTTGGCCACTTTTCAATTTAAGGGGAAAAAGTATTTGCTCAATAAGAACCAACATAAAAACCGACTTGACTCCTACGGAACAACAGTTTTTAAGACCTTTTTTTATAAAAGGTCCTCCAGAGCATCTGGCAGAAACGTTACAATCGTAATTTTCAGGAATGTTGTTGATCACATGAAAAAATTTAGACATACCTCGATGATAATCCCTAGCTCGTTGGAAGAGGCATCCAGCAGATGCATATATATGCACAGTTTTAATTTCGGAAAATTACTATGACGAGACCAAAGCTAAACAAATTTCTCTGAATATTTAGCAACATTTCCGAAAATTTTGTTGACCTTTTCAACATTATGATTTACCTCGAAAATACGGTAGTATCCCTATAGTCACAGTTGGAGAAGGATAAAATTGCATGACCAGTTTTCATTCAGGGAAATTACGGTGCTAAGAAGACAAAAGATGGTCAAGTAACTCCTTTTTTTAAAGATAAGGAAGTCCTATAGAAGTTGCAACGCATAAATTTTTTTCCACAGCCGAACCCGGTGTCGGTGGAAATGTTGCACATCACCGACATGCACTGGGATCCAGAATACGTGGAAGGATCCGAAGCAAATTGCAATAGTCCAGTATGTTGTAGAGGTGCTACGAATATCGGACACATTCGACAGCCCGCGGGCCGCTGGGGCGACTACAAGTGCGACACGCCGATGGACGCCATTATCGAAATGTTTGCAGAAATAAGAACCAGGCATACGGTGAATATGATGGACTGTATACTTCAAGCACTCCTGAATGTACATGCATGAATGAACAGAAAGTTTTATTTTCTGATTTTCAGAATTAACAAGGTTCAATCAACATTCCCACATCCAAAATCTAGTTTTGAAAAAAAAAATCAATCAAGGAAATTTAAAAAGTTTGCGAGGAATAATCGATTTTTATCCCAAGCCAGGCATATGGAATAAAATTGAGAATATTGAGAAAACTGTGCCAGCTGTGTGCAAAAATTTAATTTTTTTTCGGGCCACCTGAACCGCCTTTCTGTTGTTTCAATTACCTCTCTTCTCTTCATGCTCTTCTGTATATTAATTCAGGTCGCAAAATTGTCTTTGCCAATTTAAAAGGCCAACGAAGACTCCCTCTGTTTTCTCAAGTCAAATTATTCGAGAAATTGGGGGTTTTCTTGGTCTGAGCGCCTGGGTTTAAATTTTATTCTATGAATAAGTCCGACGGATTTTTCGTGTTGACAGCGACTGGAGTTGGTTATTTTCACCGGTGACATCGCACCACACGACATTTGGGCTCAAACGCGACGATCAAACTCAGAACTGACACAAGACGCCACTCTCAAATTACTGCGTGGTTCTTTCCAAGACCTGCCGATTTTCCCAGTCCTGGGAAACCACGAAACCTTTCCCTCGAGCCTGTAAAGTATTTTTTTTTTTGTCGGAATTGAATCCCAACTTCGAAAGACGGGCCACGTAATTCTCTCTCCTACTCTATGCGTCCCTCTTTTCTTGGACAATAAAAAGGTTCTCATTCCGCGGGCTCGGGATCCCATTGGGTTTGTCCACCGACTACATTTACAACCTCGCTTGGGAACTGTGGAGAGACTGGCTGCCTCCGGACCAAGAGGACAACGTGAGACGTGGCAGTTATTATTCGGTCGTTGCCAAACCTGGGCTCCGAGTCGTCGCCATCAACACGCACTACTGCTTCAAAATGAACTGGTCTTTATCGTGAATTTTATTTTTCGAAATTTATGTTGCTTTAAAAAAAAATATAATTCATATTCCCCGTGTTGTCCGTCAGGTTTATCTGGGCTGGAACTCCTGATCCCAATGGACAGCTTTCGTGGTTAGTCTCCGAGTTGCTAAAGGCGGAGAAGGCAAATGAGGCTGTTTATATTATCGGACACATTCCACCGGGAAATCATGAATGCACTCCGGTTTGGAGTCATAATTATGCTCGGATTGTGAATCGGTAATCACGTTTTTTAATGGTTCAAAAATCACTCACATTTCCTGGCCAAATTTTCTTTCGGAAAGACCGAGTCAATAATTTAAAAAGCTCCGGGAGCTTCACATTCATGAAATTATTTGCTATTGAAAATTAGCCCTTCTTCACAATCTGTTCCCAAGTTGAAATTATTTTCATCGATGGATGTGTTTTGAAGATTCCACAAAACATGGATTCTTGACTCCATAAAATATGCAATGCGAATTCAGGTTTGAATTCATATGTTTTAATATTTTCCCATTCGAAAAAGAGGCCGTTTCACATAATAAGTTCTGGAACCCTTTGGGATTTGATACTGTATTTGGAGGTAANCTTGTTCCGCTTCCGGAAGACAAACCCCCGAAGAAACCCATCAACATTCCAGTTAGCGACCATTTTTAGACCCTATATGTTATTCCTGGCTCAAATGAAAATAGTGAAAATCGTAAATACGCATAAAATGCTTCAACGTTTCCCCGGAAATAATATCCGTCAATAGAAGTGCAAGCATTATTTGTAGACACGGCTTGAATAGGCCATATATTCTCTGAAGATGAGTTTGTTTCTCTATGCAGCCAATTTGATTGACCTGAGAAACCGGTGAAAAGTTAAATTCCCCTTTTTCATAAACGAGTTATTCTTGGTTGTATTTTTGGCTGAACTGAGGATGCCTTGTTGTCAAAAATTCTGGAAAAAAATATTTTCCACCTCCAGAGCATCTGACAGAAATGTTACAATTTTCATTTTCATAAATGTTGTTGATCTCATGAAAAAAATTTAGACATACTTCGACGATAATCCCTTGCTTGTTGGAAGAGGCATCCAGCAGGTGCATATATATGCACAGTTTTAATTTCGGAAAATTACTATGACGAGACCAAAGCTAAACAAATTTCTCTGAATATTTAGCAACATTTCTGCAAATTTTGTTGACCTTTTCAACATTATGATGTACCTCGAAAATACGGTAGTCCCTATAGTCACAGTTGGAGAAGGATAAAATTGCATGACCAGTTTTCATTCAGGAAAATTACGGTGCTAAGAAGACAAAAGATGGTCAATTAACTCCTTTTTTTAAAGATAAGAAAGTCCTATAGAATTGCAACGAATACATTTTTTTCCACAGCCGAACCCAGTGTCGGTGGAAATGTTGCACATCACCGACATGCACTGGGATCCAGAATACGTGGAAGGATCCGAAGCAAATTGCAATAGTCCGGTATGTTGTAGAGGTGCTACGAATATCGGACACATTCGACAGCCCGCGGGCCGCTGGGGCGACTACAAGTGCGACACGCCGATGGACGCCATTATCGAAATGTTTGCAGAAATAAGAACCAGGCATACGGTGAATATGATGGACTGTATACTTCAAGCACTCCTGAATGTACATGAATGAATAAATGAATGAATGAACAGAAAGTTTTATTTTCTGATTTTCTGCATTAACAAGGTTCAATCAACATTCCCTCATCCAAAATCTAGTTTTTGAAAAAAATCAATCAAGGAAATTTAAAAAGTTTTTGAGGAATAATCGATTTTTATCCCAAGCCAGGCATATGGAATAAAATTGAGGAAACTGTGCCAGCTATGTGCAAACATTTCATTTTTTCGGGCCACCTGAACCGACTTTCTGTTGTTTCAATTACCTCTCTTCTCTTCACGCTCTTCTTTATTAATGCAGGTCGCAAAATTTTATTTGCCAATTTAAAAGGCCAACGAAGACTCCCTCTGTTTTCTGAAGTCGAATTATTCGAGAAAATGGGAGTTTTCTTCGTCTGAGCGCCTGGTTTAAATTTTATTCTATGAATAAGTTCGACGGATTTTTCGTGTTGACAGCGACTGGAGTTGGTTATTTTCACCGGTGACATCGCACCACACGACATTTGGGCTCAAACGCGACGATCGAACTCAGAACTGACACAAGACGCCACTCTCAAATTACTGCGTGGTTCTTTCCAAGACCTGCCGATTTTCCCAGTCCTGGGAAACCACGAAACCTTTCCCTCGAGCCTGTAAAGTATATTTTTTTTTGTCGGAATTGAATCCCAACCTCGAAAGACGGGCCACGTAATTCTCTCTCCTCTATTATACGTCCCTCTTTTCTTGAACAATAAAAAGGTTCTCATTCCGCGGGCTCGGGATCCCATTGGGTTTGTCCACCGACTACATTTACAACCTCGCTTGGGAACTGTGGAGAGACTGGCTGCCTCCGGACCAAGAGGACAACGTGAGACGTGGCAGTTATTATTCGGTCGTTGCCAAACCTGGGCTCCGAGTCGTCGCCATCAACACGCACTACTGCTTCAAAATGAACTGGTCTTTGTCATGAATTTTATTTTTCGAAATTTATGCTGCTTAAAAAAAAAAAAAAAGAATTCATATTCCCGTGATGTCCGTCAGGTTTATCTGGGCTGGAACTCCTGATCCCAATGGACAGCTTTCGTGGTTAGTCTCCGAGTTGCTGAAGGCGGAGAAGGCAAATGAGGCTGTTTATATTATCGGACACATTCCACCGGGAAATCATGAATGCACCCCGGTTTGGAGTCATAATTATGCTCGGATTGTGAATCGGTAATCACGTTTTTTAATGGTTTTAAAATCACTCACATTTCCTGGCCAAATTTTCTTTCGGAAAGACCAAGTCAATAATTTAAAAAGCTCCGGGAGCTTCACATTCATGAAATTATTTGCTATTGAAAATGAGCCCTTCTTCACAATCTGTTCCCAAGTTGAAATTATTTTCATCGATGGATGTGTTTTGAAGATTCCACAAAACATGGATTCTTGACTCCATAAAATATGCAATGCGAATTCAGGTTTGAATTCATATGTTTTAATATTTTCCCATTCGAAAAAGAGGCCGTTTCACATAATAAGTTCTGGAACCCTTTGGGATTTGATACTGTATTTGGAGGTAATTCTCAATTTTTTTGGGGAAACCAAAAAGTAAGTACGGAAATGAAAATTTTAGCGAAGATTATCATTGATTTAAATTTCCATTTTAAATTTGAATAGCAATAGTTCAATAGCAAAATCAATTAAGTGATTCCTTTTTTTTAGGGGGGCGGGGCGGTCTTTTTCAGGCAGCCAATCATCTGCGATGGTTAATTTTCATATCTTTGTTTTTTTTTAAGGTTCGAAAGCACCATCAAGGCGCAGTTCTTTGGACACACGCATCATGACGAGTTCTCAATTTATCGAGATCCGAAGGAATTGAGAAGGGCCACAAATATTGCTTATGTTTCTCCAAGTATTACTGCTTATAGAAAACTGCAACCGAGTTACAGAATTTTCCATTTGGACGGAAGACGTTGGGAATCTTCTTGGGTGAGGAATCTTGGGTTTTTGAATTGGCTATTTTCAATTGTCGATTGAGCTTTTATCCAGCAGCCTGGAATAAGTACTGTACAGAAAAGTTCAGGTTGTTCAAATCTTCAAAATTTCAGAGACAGAATACTGTACTTCGAAATTCTGCGTAATCACTAACTCTCCTTTTAAGCAAAACTCTTGATTTCATAGGATTTTATTCAATTTTATACATGAGTCCTGACTTCGCTTGAGCGTCTTTTTATTACTTGCTGATTGAATTTCAAGCCAACGCGAATGGTTTTAATCTTCATGCTAAAAACCGCAGAAATTCTAACATGTTTCCATTGAAAAAGGAAAATATTAACTCACATTTTTACTAAGGAAATTGTTGAATAATAATCCGTGGTTCTAATTAATCTTTCCCAAAACCTAGGCTTCCACATAGGGAAGAGAAATTTCTTGGGTGTGCGAGAATTGAAAAACAATCATTAAAAATATTTAGTGATTAATTTTCAGTCAGTAAAAATGATGTCTGTATCCATCAATGAAATAAAAAAGACGTTTTACTTTGAAAGAAAGAGGCACGTGAAGCTTTCTTGTCAGAAGTATTGATAACAGGCTGATTCTGTTTTATTTTCTTTCGAATAATTCGCGAGTTTTTTTTTATACTAAGTTTGATCAATTTTTAAGGCGGTTTTAAATCACGAGACGTGGATTTACGACCTCAAAGAGGCGAACATGCCGGGAAACACGCCGAAATGGGTTCAACTTTACACAATGAAAGAGCGATTCGGAATGCAGAATTTGCATCCTCAAACATTCCTGAATTTGACAATGGGACCGATTCGAAGCGATCCAAAAGTCTGGGAGACATATCACAGGTTTTTAATATTGATTTTTTCTTAAATAATTTAGCTTCTGTTCTTGATCCGCAATTTGATAAATCTGCTTTGCTGTAGGATATTTTGGAGTAACTCGGCTGCAGTCGTTCCGTGCGATGCACATTGCAAGAGGAAACATCTTTGCATGATCCTGAATCCAGACACGAGCTGGGCTCTGTTTTGTTTGACCTGAATATCAGATTCCGTTTTATTCAACTTTAAAAAAAAACACACCAAAAGCGACACTAGCTTTTTAAAGAGCCCGAAAAGATAAGGTCATCTGAGCAATGGAGCTTCGATCATCTTCCCGTTTCCTTCCTTTTCCTCACGGTATCAAATTGAAAGTATTTTCTTTCGCTTTTCGGAGCGAATTCGAGCTTGCAACCGCCATAATTCACGAGCCACCATCGGCAAGTAGTCTCCATCAATTGATGAACCCATCGAAAAGCAGTGGACAGAATAAATGTCGGGGAAAGAATGCAGCATTTTTTCCTGTCATTGCTGTGCTGATTTTGTATCAGTCCCTCAACGTCTTGCCCACCCCTCCTGGAAATACAAATCATTATCAAGACGAGTCATTTTGAAAATTCGTCTGACAAAAACGGAAAGAAAGCAATCTTGTAAACACATTCTGTGAAAATATCGAACCAACGCAAAGTTCCTATTCAAGCGACATCTAAAAGATAAGGAAAAATGATGACCCCCTCTTTCTTCGCCTACGAACATAATGTTCCTAGATGTCACTCGTTCAAGACAAAATTCAAGTTTTGGCAAGAATTCAAGGAATTCGATTGAATACAAGTTCAGAATCGGCATTCGGAAGACAATTTAGCGTAATAATGGCAGTAAATAAAGTATGTGATGACCTCAGTACTAAGTTCAACATTATTTGAACAACATACCGATACATGAATAACCTGTAACGGCAACCTGAACCTAATAAATGTTCGTTCAAGATGGGTTTCGCCAACTCTTTTGGGCCCGCGGACCAGCAAATTTCCGAAGAAATTTTTCGTGGACTGGCAAAATTTCATAAAAATTTTTGCAGACTCAAAAAAAGTTTTGCCTAAAAGACATCATTGCAGATTTTAAAAGAGTTTCTGCTTTTTTTGTGTGTTCAAAAATCGAATTTAGAACCAGTGAAGCAGCTATAGTGTAATATCTTCAAAAATTGGAAAAGTTGGCATGAAGAAAGCTTTTTTGGGATGAAAACCTGAAATAATTTATTTCAGCAGGTGAAAATTTGTCGGAAGTGTCATTGGGAGAAAGCCTACTTTTATTTTCCATCATATAATTTCACCTGCCATTGTCTCCAAAATTTCAGATAATTATAAGACTTCATTACTAATTTCGATTAGTCAGCGTTCCTCCAATAGATGTCGCCAAGCAACTAAATTTATTACCCAAAATTATCGCAGCGAATTAAAAAAAAAAAAAAAAAAACTTGCTCGCGTGCTTCTTGTCCATCTCCATCGCCCGCAGAAGGTCTGGCCCGAACAGTGGCCAATTGTCGTTGATCGGAACTTCTTGTGCAATCGTACAGAACGCATTCGAAGCAGAATTTCAGCACTGTTATGATCATGTAAGCCACAATCACTCCGAAAATGGTTGCGAGAAACACTCGGGACTCCAGTTCATTCCCCTGCAAGTCCGAGTCTGCAAAATCACCTCCGACATTATTGGTATGATTATTTCTGAGTTCGGAATTTCTGCAGTCAAGCTTAACTGGTCCCGCAGGTTTAGACCACGGGCTTTCGCGGATTTGACAGAATTTCTTGTTCCCCAGACTGAATGTGCAAATAAAGGAAACTGAAACGCGGAAAAGATGAAAGTGTCACGTTCAAAAGTAATCCCGAGATTTTCGTTGCTTCCGACTGTTTGTCCAAAAAAGGAAAAAAATGAATAAATTATAAGGGCAAGCCTAAAAATAGCAATACGAATTAGAGAGAGCAATTCACGTTGCTCTTTTAAACCACTTTAAAATTTCATGACATCATGCTAATTTTGGAAACTCTCTCTCTTTATTTAAAACAAATTCCTGAGCAACTCACTGTTGATCTTTGGACGCAGATTCAAACATTCGATCTCTGTTAAAGTTCTGGGTGAGATTTCGACATTGGAACCCCCCATATCGATCAAACCCGAGGGGTACACCTGACGAGAAACAGCTTCTTCGAAGGCGATTCGGAGAAGGTCCAGCGGATTTGAAGCAGTTTGGATACTGCCTGGTTTTTTCGCGATTAAACTGCTGGACGGACTCAGTACTTTTTTCAAGATTTCGGAAGGATCAGGATTTGTTTCCACTCGATCAAAATCCCAAGGGGGACCTAAGAATTCCTCATTTTTCCACGGGGAGTCAGTTGGATAGGATTTCCACTGGTAAGTCGGTGCAACGCCGAAATCATCCCAAGCACCTAGAAAAATTGTGTTAAATGTAATCCGAACAAGCATTACATACAGGTAAGTGTATTACTTGCCTCTGAGGTACATTTGCAGTTTATAGAAGCCCAGGTAACGATCAGGAATAATTTCCTTTTCGTGATTCACTCATAAGAAGGTAAATCACCCCGCTGTCGATGACCACGAGTCGGAGAAGAACCTTTTGCGGGTTAATAAATGATACGCATCATAATAAATATACGTCATAACCTTCCAAGATAAGAGCGTAGATGTCGCTCGAACCTCGTCGAAAAAACAATTCATTGGTTTTCGAACGGATACGTTGTGCTGATGATGTACGTACAGAAAAAGCAGACCAGTTTTTCATCAGGGACTCATTGGTGGAACCTTATCACGGCAGAAAAATTTCCAGTACAGTACTTGTCATTGAAATTTACTTTTATAACCTGAATTGCTTTGATATCATTTGAGGGGATTTCTGAAAAAGTAATGTACAACACTCCAGAGAGAAAGCTGTCATATACTTTTTGCAATGTATTTTCGTGCTCCTTCACAAGCATTAAAACGTAGATAAATATTCAAAGCATTTCCATTTACCGACCTGGGTTGCATAAATGATTAATTTTGATGAATATACTAATAATATATACTGAATGACGACGGATCAAAAAATTAAAATATTTCTTGAAATTTTGCAAATTTCATGCCACAAATCTCGGAGTGAGGATTCAGAAAAGGTCTGTTTATTTTTATAAACACCAAAATCCAAGCAAAAAACCGTAGCAACGTTCACTTTTGAAAATGTTTCTTTGTATGATCATATTTATTCCAAATAAAACTTCAGGTTCAAGAAGGAACCGGAGAAAATACAGATTTTCAAGTATCCAAGCGTTTTCGAAGACGTTTTTACAAGCAAGAATAAATAGCTAAAACACCGGAAGTCGTTTACAAGCTTGTTTGTAAAACGCCAGAGCAGATTTATTCCAACTGCTTCGCAACCTTGGTTTCAAGTTCATAAAATGCACGTTCGAAAGTAAACAGTCTCCTTGTGCTTGCAGCACGGACAGAAAGATATTAACATTGCTCTATGAACACCATCTGGCACTTTTCTGTCGACACCGCAAAATGAAGAAAATATTTCTAGAAATTTTTTCTGGCTCCGTTGCTGACGCAAGAATCAGCAGCAACGAATGACGCAAAAGAAAAAAGGACCAGATCACGTCGGAGAATAAGAATTTTCACGGCAAATAAAATTCTACTCAAACGGTTTTAGAGGCGAAGAACATTTCTTTTATTCAATGTCTATGCGTTTCTTTTTTTCCCGAGTTCACGTCGTAAAGATTTTTTTTCTCGCTCAACAATTGAAAATCACTCTCCTGCGAATTTATTTTTCCTCGTCTTGCGCCTGCACGAGTGAAGTACAACTTTTTTCACACTAAAACGAAACTACTCGCGTTAAATGAAGTCTTCCGGAAAAAATTCGATTTCAATTTCCCAACACTACGACCTTCGGAATTGTGCGCGTCAATTCAAGCCACATGCCGAAAAAATACGATAAGAAATATTCGAGTACAAACCCTCGTTAGTTTGTATAAATGCGCGTAGGCAGGTCTCGAATTTTTTTTTCCTCCCTCCAATCCAACATTTTTCCATTCATTTCTTTTTTTTCTGCAAAGAGAAACGTATAAAAACTCCGTCGAGTGAAGTTTACAACCACGAAAAGGAACCTATAATTATTGTCTTTGAAATCTTCATCTATCTGCGATTTCCTTTTTTTCAACCTTGCATGGAAAGCAAAAAAAAAAAAAAGAAAGACTGGAAGCTCAGCAAGGAACTCAAGGGGAGGTTCCACATCATCCACGCACACACTCGCAAACAAAACGTGAGGGAACACGATTGCAAAAACACAAAAAAAAAATCACGAGAAACAATCAAACAAGGCCTTATGATAACAGTGATACTCACTCTCGTTTTATGGCAGCAGTCAAATCTGTCCGCCAAGCCTCATCTTCAATTTCACTCGCCGAAACAACAATCAATCAATCAATCAATTACCAACAGACCAAAAAAGGACCCAAAATTCTTTGAATTCCGTGTGTGTGACCACTGCTGAATTATTCCGCATACAAAACAGAAAAAAAAATCCACGAGACTTCTTACGATATACGCGAAAAGAAAGAAAGCTGTCGAACTCCTGTCGTCTTCTTTTTAAAGCTGCAAGTCTTTTTTTCTTCGGGGAATCAACAGTTTTGAAAGCATGAGGAATTTTTTGAAGAACGAAACTGAAACGAAAGTGCGACACTGATTTGTTTTACGGTTCTTCAATAGAACCTACTTCTGTACAAAAAGGAAAACACGCTAATCTACCAAGTTTTCCCCACTCTTCTTTTTCTTTTTTTTTTCTATCACACAGGCGGGTTTTGGACCGCCAAAAAGTTTCTTTCATCCGACTGGTTTGATTGGCGATCGACAGACATTTTCGTCAACGTTTGCGTTACGCGAAAGACAAGAAAGAAAAAAAAGATCGGGAGAAATTCAAGTACCCGGGAACAATTTTTAAATACTTTCTTCTTATTTCCAAGAAAAAGAGGTTTTCTGAAGAAAAAAAAAGAGGACTGGGTACGAGTCACAAGCTGTGTCTGGCCACATGGCCCCCCGACAGCAAGCAAGAATAGATTCGCTGAGATTCCCACGAAAGCACTGAGATCTGCTCCACGAGGTTGAATTTTCATTCTTTTCTTTCAAACTTTTTTTTTTCGGGAGAAATCGAGCGAACATTGAATTGGGTAGAAAAAAAACACAACCAAACGATCGATCGGTGAAGCGGTCAGAATCACTTCCCAGCCTCGTTTCCCTTCCGTTCAACTACGGCGACAACCGGACCTCTTTTTTTTCCCAAACAATCCCGAATCATTTTGAAGATGTATGCATTTAATCAATAAGGAAATGAACGATGATCAATTGGATAATTAATGACCGTGATCATTTCAATTTACGGAAAACGACTCGGGACATTAATTGAAGCGTCCAATTTAAAAAGGAATTTTGAGGGCGCACCTTCTGACGGCAACTTTTGGAATTTCAGAAATTTTTCATACGCCAGAAGCAATTTTAAAATGAATTCTGACAGGTTTTATGCGTACTGTACACCAGTCTAATCCATAAATTGTTCTCGAGTTTGAATTTAAATTTAGATTATTTTTTATAGACCTTCGTCGATTATTCTATCGAAGCGAACTTGCAAGTGTTCATTCGGAAATTAATGTAGGAAATCGAAAAGCTTCATAATCAAAATTAACTGAAGTTCCTAGTCCATAAATGAATTAATCCGTCCAATAAATCTGACAAAAATGTGGCTAAGTGATTACATGAAATTTTAATCGATAAAATGTTGAATGATAACGAGTTTCCTTAAATCTGCTTTTGAAAAAGACTACAGTTATTCGACATTTTACGCAACACTGTCAACTATGCGGAAAGAAAAAAACTTGGTTTATTCGTCAAGTTAATTATTTTAAACATTATTTTGCAGGATAAAGTATCTTCATGAGTGCAATCAAACATAAGCAAAATCAACATTAATTTCTCTGCACATAATGAGTCTAGTCTTCAATCGCCTTAT